TGTCCTTTGGATATAGGTGGAGGGTGGGATATCTGCATCACATGGTGGTTCCATTCTAAGTTTCTTAAGAAATCTTCATACTACTTTCCAGATAGGTTGTACCAATTTACAGTCCCACCAGCAATGTATGAGTTTGCTTTTTCCCCACATCCTCGTCAACACTTATTGTTGTTTGTCTTCATGAACTTCATAAAGTTCCCCAAAGGATACACTTCTGTCTAATGTTTTTATCTCCCTTTGTTTATCTTTATACTTGGTATATAGTTTTAATAACAATAAGTTATGTATGTGTTTGTTTGTAATTATTCTGAGGTTATATACCTTTTATATATAGAATATATRTTTTCAAACCGATGGATTATTGTTTTTTCCTCATTTTGTTTATTTCATAAAGCCAAGTAAAGTAGTGCTCTCAATATTGAATTTAAAAAACCTCATCTATGTTAAAAATATAGAAAATACTAATGCTTTTTCTTTTCTTTTGAATGCTAGTTTGTATAAGAATGAGATAAGTGATCCAGGACAAATCACATCTTTCATTAATCATCATATCCCTGATGCTAAATTAAAACTAGAAAATAAAGAAAAACTTGTATATACTTTGCCTTTGGAAAGCACAAGTAAATTTCCAGGTAACTTAAATATCATTACAATGGAATGAACTTGGGGATCAAATGTTTACATTATTATAACAATCTTCATTATTTATGCACTTGAATTTTGCTTGGGCTGGATTATTTGAGAATAATAATTTGAGATAAGAATTTGAGTTTAATAAATTTTTTGGTAGTCTTTCCCTGAAAGGACCAGCAAAAAGTGGAGACATGAGAGAGGGAAGGAAGGAAGCCAGGGAATTTTGCATTATCAAGCAATTTAGCCATTGTAGGCGATTCAAGTGCAATATCATAGAGGAAGGGGTAGGGAGAAAAGATTTAAGTCATGTCACCATAAAGGTAAGGAAGTTAGGGTAATTACGTACTGCTCTCTATCTATCATTGGTTAAGGGTTAAATCCAGGTACATTAACTGTCTGGTCCTCTGGCTTGCTTTGAACATGACCTTAACATAATTCTAAGGCTAGAAAAGAATCTCAAGA